ACTAGTGCTCCTTGACACGAAGAACCTGCACCTGCCCGGCCCGTCAAAACTACGGCCACGATTTTGTGGGCCCTTCAAGATTATCAAGATGGTGACACTTGTCACCTCGAAGCTGTTGCTACCCGACGACTGGCGCATTCACGACGCCTTCCACTTCAGCCTGCTTCGAAAGTTCGTGCCACCCACGACCGACATCGCGCGGCAACAAGCTGACCCAACTGCATGACCTGTCCCGGAGCCGACTCTTGACCCTTCGAATATTCTGACACATCGCGTTCGCCTTGACGCAGCTGGTCACCACGTGGATTTTCTCATCCGTTGGACTGATCGCACAATTGAAGACGACACGTGGGTGCACTCCGCCTCGCTGGACGCCTTGTCCCTTGTTTGTGTTTACTTGGCGTACATGCGTGTTTCGGGTATTGACCGCCTTAGGGGGGGGTAGTGTAAGGAATTTTCTCGAATTCCTTATTGGGGTTGATTGCTTCGCATACAGCCCGATTTTCGGACTTTGGACGTTTGGCCGATTTCAACGCTGCCGAGGCTCTTCGCGTCGCCTTCAACATTTTCCCAAATTGCCAAACAGACCGTCAGATTGGTTTGAGGGTATGCTGATGGATCAGCGTGCCCCGGTCGCCCAGGTGTCCAAATCATCGTCCATGGTTTTCTTTATACTGATTTTGCCAGTGTAAAAGTTATAAGTAAACTGAACCATCAGTTTACAAAAGAAATACAAAGTTGAATTTCCCGTTCAAAATTTGTCGCTGTGAGAGCTCCTTCCAGCGATGCAGAACACGTCGACACGCGATCTGTACAGCGCATGCATCGTTAAGTGTGTGAGTGAGGTCTCGCGAATCCCGGGCCAGTTACAGCCTAGTGGGGTCTCGTGAATCTCGGGCCAGGTACAGACTGTACACACACGTACCACCCCGAATCGGTCTAGTCCGTTTTAGTGTGACTCACGACACTACACTGATTCGTCAGTATTACTTGTACAGCAACACGGAAAATGGTCAGTGTGGCCAGGTATGTTATATTGAAATTTCAGTGCAAATTTGAAGCATACTACCGTCACCCCCCGGATATACCCCCATGGGGGGCTATAATATAACATGTTTTTTTGAGGGGGTGGGCTTATAATATAGTAAATTTATAAGCGCCGGCGTTTATAATTTGTCAAATTTGAAATTTGTTTTTTAATATACCAAATCGAAGCATTCTCAAACGCGGATTCACCTGGGTCGAGAACGTTCGAAACTGTGCATGCATTGCGTGTGAAACAGCCAACAAGGCGTGGCTTCACGCCTTCCACGCCTTGTTGGCCAGGCCAGGTTCATCGAACGTGAACCTGGCCCATGCCAGTGCACACGTACCTCGCATCACAGCGGCCCAATCAGGGTTGCATGCGATCGTGGGCACGTCGTGGTTCAGCCACGGTGTGCCCATCAACAGCAAAATTCCCCGCCACCGAGGCAAGGAGCTGCCCAGCTCAGCTCCTCTGCGGGGAATCTTGACTGGGGCCACCCTTTTCCCGCAGAGGAGGCCGGGCCGCGAAAATGAAGGGGTCTCGGGCGAGGGCTTCATACAGCCCTCATTCTCGACTTTTGCCTTCAGTTTCTTTGTTCGTTTGGCCTGCCGTGGCCATGGCGGGCCTTCCAGGCACGCATTTCTTGTTCCGCCGCCATCCTGCTGCCAGAGAAAACACCCGCCGAGACACCTGTGACTACTCTCAATGGCAGTCGCGCCCTGCGCCCGTCCCTCCGTGTCAACCAGTAGCTCCTCCCGTTCCTCCCACTCCCCCAACTCCTCCTGCACCTCCCGCTCCCCCGGCGCCTCCGGTTCCTCCAGCTCCTCCGTCCCCTCCTGACCCGCCTGTGTTTTGTGCTCCACGTCAGGGGGTCCTGCAGCTTCTCCTCCCTCCTGGCTACTCGGCGTTTGACGCGTACCTGTCCGAGCCCGACCGCGCCGGTGGCGCATCGTCTTCCTCCGCACCGTCGCCACGCTGGGGAGCCCCGGCTGATTGCCCGTTGGACGAATCCGCGACTGGTGCGGAGGATGACGTGGAGTTTTGGGCTGCCGACGGTCTTCCAGAGCACCTGCCTATTCCCACCTTCCCCCCCCCCAATAAGAAACGGCCCCACCCTTCTCGCGAGAATCGCGATGCCCGTCCTCCCTCCCCCAGGCACAAGCCTTCAAGTCACAAGCGGCACTCTTACACATCGCAGGAGAAACTGCAGTGGATTCTCAAGCTTGAGTCCGGGCACATGAGCGTGCGGCAGATGTCTCGCCAAACCGGCATCTCCCGAAGGTCACTCGCAGAATGGAAGACCCGGAAGGCTGACCTGGAGGGCGCGCATGCTGCTCGCAAGCGTCTTCATGGGCGCGGAAGGAGCTCGTGGTATCGCGACATGGAAGCTGAAGTCTACAGGAGGTTTCTTGCCCACCGTAAAAAATGTCTCGCGGTCTCGATTGCTCGCCTACAGAAGTGGTCGCATGAGGTGATGAAAGAATTGCACCCACAGGTAAAGTGGTCCGGCTCGCAGCGGTGGACTGAGCGGTTTCGCCGCCGTTGGAATCTGACAACCCGAGCGAAGACCAGGGTCGGCCAGAAGCTTGCTGCCAGTGAGTTTTGTGGGAAATGGTTGCAGTTTAATGTGTACTGCTTTGTGTTGTTTGTCTCTTTATGTTTCACGGTTGAATTTTAACGCGTCATTAATACTCTCTTCTCTCTTTCCCTCCCACCCGTACTCCCAGACTGCGAGACTGACGTCAGGAATTTCTGGAAGTTCGTGCGTCACACCCGCCGCCAATACAAGATTGACCCGCAGTGGATAATAAACGCGGACCAGACACCACTGTGGCTCGAGATGCCTGCCGAACGCACAGTCGAGGAGGTGGGTCTGCGCTCTGTGCCTATCCGCAGCGGCGGCTATCAGAAGGAGCGAGTTACGGTGTTGCTCGCCTGCACTGCCAGCGGTGAGAAGCTGAAGCCGTGGGTCTTCTTCAAACGGAAGACCCTGCCTAAAGGGGATTTCCCTTCAGGTGAGCATTAACACCCACTGCTGCATGTTTTTTTTTTTTCTATGTCTACTGATGTTGTACGTGCGTTTATGGCTGTGCAGATGTTACGGTGTCCGTCCATCCCAACGGTTGGATGGACGCGGACGGAGTCATCGAGTGGCTCGACGGGGCAGTGAAGCCGTTCGTCCACCCCAAGTTCGGAGTGAGGCCCCGCAAAGCGATGCTCGTCTTGGATTCGTACCGCGGGCACCTGACTGCGGAGGTGAAGAAGAAGTTCGGGGAGCTGAACATCGTCCCTGCCGTTATCCCAGCTGGCTGCACCTCGGAGATTCAACCTCTGGACGTCGCGGTGAATCGCTCCTTCAAGGCATCCGTTCGCCAGCTCTACCAGGAGTGGTTCGAGAGCGAGGGGGTCGACACCTTGACAAAGAAAGGTGAGAGAGGCAGGCCATGCGTGTGCTGCTTTAACAGTTTGTAGCGGTGGCTGACTTTTGATTGTTTAAATTTTATGGCAGGCAACATCAAGAAGCCACCACCCGAGCTAACGCTCAAGTGGATATCAGCGGCTTGGAAGGCCGTGCCCAGGGACTTGATTCAACGGGCTTTCCTCACCTGTGGCATTAGTAACGCACTGGATGGGTCCCAGGACAAGATGTGCCTGCAACACAGGCGCGACGAGCTTGAGGGCGACGAAATAGACATCGACGACGACATTGCAGCAGATGGCTTTTTCTGCAACAACGTAGAAGAACCAGAGTCGGACTCTGAGGCCGACCCGGATGATCCTACCGCAGCTGATGACTAGATTACGTAGATCTAGAAATTGTTGTAGCCTGTGAGACTCGTAGGTAGATTTAGAACTGTAATTAGAAAAAACTTTAGACAAATTGACTTTGTAATTAATTAGATGAAAATATACAATGTTAATGTGGTTAGTGAAGCGTGTAGAATTTTTTTTTTTAAAAAAAGTGGCAGTTATAATGTGTAAGGTACAGGTATGCGGCTATAATCCGTACGACTCTAGGGTATGCGCTTATAATCGAGGAGGGGATATAAGCGCCATATGCCAATTAGAAGCGCCAGGCGCTTATCCTAGGGTGGCGCTTATATCCGGGGGGTGACGGTATGCTGAATTTTCAGGGAAAACGAAAATTTGAGCTACAAAATCAGCATAATCAGCGTGTTTTACCCTGATATCTGAGGGCCTGTCGCCAAACCTGCACCCAACCTCGCTCGTCCGAGGTTCCCTCCTAGCTAGGCTAGTTCCTACATTAGTCTGTGCCTTCGTTGTATTCTCAATTCATTCAATCACAGTCTCGTTATTCGTTTACCTGTGCACTCTCTTTTACAACTCATAACACATTTTGACGATTACTTCAAGTTTAAAAGACAGTGGTGGTCCACAGAATCTTACGGTATTCCTGTTCAATGTGCGTCTTGATTTGGAAGAGAAGCCTTGAAGCTATTACTGTACTGTGAACGATGATTCGTTCTTGTGAACCGTTTTCTGTGTTGAATAATACGACGGCACTACAATAGCGAGTGTTTTGGAACCCCCAAGACGATTCGCCGCTACAAACTTCTCTAAGCGGGAAAGTCTGACAGCATCCAAGCTTGCCTAGAACGAGCATCTGATTCTCCCGTCTACTATTCTCATTCGGAAAGCAACTTCCAGTCTGCGTATGCCTGAGCCAACGTGTTCAGTTGCGACACGGATCGGCACTAGAGGCTGGAGCATGATGCACGATCTGGCTAATCCGCGCTCTCTTCAAAAGTAGCAACATTCTCAGAATCGGCGGCCGTCGTCGAGCCGAAGGTTGCTTTCGCTGTAGATTCGTTCGAACCGTTAGCGTCGAGGCAGATGGATTCTCTTGACTTTTGAGTCGACTAAAATTCACCCTGCTTTTGGTGTCGATTCATTCGATTCGTTCGATTCGTTCGATTCGTGAACGTCGAGGCAGATAACTAGTTTTGCAACGATGGATGACGACCCGCTGCTGGTTCGGCTGCGCAGAGTAATCGAATCTTCTCACGCCCTGCTCCGTGCAACCTCCGCCGTTTCCTCGTCAAAGAGTACAGATTCCGCTGCAGAAGCGCCTAGGGTTTGCCGCGAGGACGCTATTAGCGGGGATGCTGCTGCTAGTAGCGAGCAGCGTGCGGGCGACGCTGAGAAGGCAGCTCTTGCGGGGCTGGTGGGCGCGGTGGAAGCGGTGGTGGCGGAGGCGGAAGGCGCGGGGCGGATGTTGGCGGAGAGGGGGCAAGCGGGGAGGGGGTATGCGGGGAGGGGGGATGCGGGGAGGGGGGATGCGGGGAGGGGAGATGCGGGGAGGGGGGAGGCGGGGAGGGGGGAGGCGAAGAGGGGGGAGGCGGGGAGGGGGGAGGCGGAGCAGGAGGAGCCGGACAGGCGCAAGTGTAGTACCAGGGGAGGGGGAAGGGGTGGACGGGGAAACTCATGGCGGGGGGAAGGGCTGGACGTTGGCGCAGGGGGCGCAGCAGGGGGCGCAGGGGGTGCAGGGGACGCAGGAGGCGCAGGGGGCGCGGGATGCGCGGGAGGGGAAAAGGGGAAGAACGAGGCTGGGAAGAAGCCAATTCCTGAAATTCCTGCTGACGTCATCTCTCTATCAGTAGAGGTGCACGGGTGGTTGTTTGGGCGCAATGGGAAGGGAGAGCGAGTGAGTGGGGGCTAGGGCATGTGCATCCAAGCTGCTTGCAAAGAGATGATTGTCTGAGTCGCCTAGAGAATGCTTTGCTCGCCTGCGATAACCTTATGTGACGAGACCTCTGCTCAAGTGACTGTTGGAGAGACTGTTGAAGAGACTCAGAGCGACCACCTTTGGCACACATCAATGGCAAAGCTGTTGGAATGAAGAACCAGCTTGATGCTGCAGTGCTGCTGAGACGTCTCAAACTCGAATTTGAAAACGTTTTGCGACTCTAGATTTGGGACGTCTTGATTTGAGATGTTTCAAAGCTTTGGTTCTGAGACGTTTCAATCTGCGGGTGTAACCCGTCGTGTCTCAGCGCCTTGGCTCTTCAATCTCCTTCTCTGTTCCCTTAATGCCCCCAGGCCGTCAGTCGAAGCATCTCGACCGTCCATTCGCTGCTGGATTCGCATCAGAGCCGTCGATGGGCGGCAAGCCTGCACCGGCTGCCAAGTAGCATAGATGCCGTCATGCAAATCAGCAGGTAGGTTCAGTATGACACCATATGGCGACATGGCATGTCATATCATATGGGACAGCATGTGATGTCATGGGACAGCATGTGATGTCATGGGACAGCATGTGATGTCGTGATACAGCTTGTCATCTCGTGAGACAGCTTGTCATGTCATGACATTGAGCTACTCAACTCACTGACTGACTTTCGGACGTTGCTTGAAGTGCGACATGAAAGCAGGAAACAATGTGTAATGTCAAGGGTGCAACGCGAGGCACATCACATCACATCACATCACATCACATCACATGGCTTCATGCTTGAGCTCTGAGCCATTCGCACCGCATGCGCGCCATGCATGCCACGTGTTCGTACCACCTGAGTGTGCCAACATCCTCACTGGGGAACCTTGTCTTGTGCTCACCCCTCCCTCTCCCTCATCTCTCTTTCATCTCTCCTCCGCACCCTTCATTCGTCCCTGCTCCCCCCAGCGCCATGCGACCTCTCCTCTCCTTGCTGCTGCACCTGCTCAACCTCGCGCCTCCCTCACTCTCCACATCCTTCTGCCAAGCCCAGGTGTGTGTGGTGCGCATCATAACAAGTATCTCAGCAAAGCTCTATAACGGGGACAGCCTGCCTGCCAGGCTCTTGCTGCAGGTGCAGCTCTGTACTCGCTATGGAGCCCTCCCATTACAACTTCAGTATGTTTGTTCGAAATAGGGATATCCGCAAAGGCTCTCATCCACGGTGGTCACATCAGGTGGCCATGGACAGCTTCATCAGCGTGGCTTTGAATCACTCCTGTTTCCAACAATCAGCATCTTGTCAGTTTCGCATCCAGGTTCTCCCACCCAACTGTGCGTGCCCCAGGCGTCCGCCCTACTGCCCATCCCATTCTCACTCACATCCTTACTCACATCCGTCCTTCACCTGCACTAGCAACCACCTGTTGCTCATCCTGTCTGTCCCCTTTACGCATCCTCCTCATCCCCCTTTCTCGTCCTTCTCCCAGGTGTCAACTCTACTGCCCGTCCTCACGTCCCTCCTCTCCGTAGGCCTCCACCAACACTTCTTCTTCCACCTCCACCAGCAAGCGCGTCTGCTTCAAACCCCCCTCCTCTCCTCCTCCGCCTCCTCCTCCTTGCCTTCCTCGGCTCCCCCTTCTCGCCCCGCCTCAGCTGCCTCCTCTGCCGCCTCCTCTGCCGCCTCCTCCCCCGCTGCCTCCCCCTACAAGCCCCCCCACCTGCGCTCGCGCAATGCACGCGCCCCCCCGCCTGCTCTGTCCCCCTCCCTGTCCTCCCTGCCTCCCGTTCTGCCACCAGCAGCAGCACAACCAGCAGCAGCAGGAGCAGCAGCAGATGGAGGGGTGGGTGCACTTGCGTCGCCATCAGCACTTGCAGCACCATCAGCGCTATTAGCAGGGTTGAAACTCGCAGCAGATGCTGCCTCTACCCATGGCCCCCGTTCCTCACACCTGAACGGGTTTTTTCCGGGCAGCCGGGCAACTGAGCGAAGCAGCTGGGGCTATTTCCCCTCGGAAATCATCGATTCGAGGGGGTCTGGGTCGGAGCAGAGTGAGGAGGAGGAGGGATGGGGTGGAGAAAGGAGGGGAGGAGGGGGAGGAGGTAGTTGGGGTAGGCGGGGAGGCGATGGGAGGAGGGGAGGTGGTAGCGTGGAGGCAAGAAAGCTGAGAATAGCTTCACTCACCTGCATCAAGGTGGGTGCCTTTTCTGCTACTTCCTTACTCTGCTGCCCTCCCCCCCACTTCCCGTCTGTTTCCGCACACTCACCAGAGCATGGTGTTGTGCCGGTGTGCCCAAGGCCGCTGTATGCTCTCAGCACTGCGCTCTTTTGAAGCGCCTCAAAACAGCTGTGCTCTTACCCCACTCCTCCGCTGCCGCTCGTTCCCTCACTGCACTCTCCCCGTCCCCCCCCCCCCTCCCGTCTCTTCGCCTGCATTCCCATGCACCCATCAGAGCATGGCGAGCGTGTGTCCCAGGGCACTGCACGCGCACTGGGCGGAGCTCTTCCCCCACTCCTCCGCTGCTGCCCCCAGGTGTGTCTCGCACACGGTTGCTCATGTGACGGATTGCCCTCACGTCCATACATGCTCGCCCCCTCTCTCCCACACATCCATCCATACACGCGAGATTGCTCTCACTATCAATGAGCCCTGCACTGCCCATAACTGATACATTTTACTCTCTCACAGACCACCAACCTACCCCCCACGTGCCTTCCACTGCCCCCTCACAGGTCCTCCTCCGCATCCCTCCTAGCTCCTCTGCTCGCCGACCCATCCCCCAAGGTGACGTGGACAGCTACTGTATCTACAAACACAAACCATCCTCCAGAGTACCCATTCGGGTCTGTATACACATATGAAATATAACTTTCAGTGTTCCGTACTTGCAAAACCAATCTTGTATTTCTCAACTAAATTGTACCGTGTGTACCGAGCATAAGCACCTGTAACATAGGCATGGCATACCTGACAAAACTCCCTCCTGTACTCGCGCCATACGCTACACTTACTCGCTCTTTTTAGTCCCTCTGCCTCTTCCTTCGCCACTCCTTTGGCCCTTCTCCCTTGCCCTCATCGCCACCTTCCTCTCTCCTCTCTCTGCAGGTGCGAGTGGCAGCAGCACAGACCCTCGCTTCCCTCCTCGACTCGCCTCTCACTCTCACCTTCCTGCATCGCACTGCTGCCTCCGCGCCCACCCCTGCTGCTGCTGCCTCTGTTGCTGGGGGGGGGTCTCGCACCCCGGGCAAGAGGGCATCAGTGCGAGGGTCAGGAGCGGTGGAGAGTGATGCTGGGGGATCAGCAGTGGTGGGTGGTGCTGCTGGTCGAGCTGAGGGTGATGTTGGTGTTGGTGGTAGTGCTACAAGCAGCAGCAGCAGCAGCAGTAGCAGCATCAGCAGTCGAGCTTCCTTCATTTCTCTTTCAGCAATCCTGGCAGACAGCCTTGCAGACATGCACAGTGGTGCGTGATCCATAACACCTGTGCGTGAACCTCAGACTCACTTCACACCAGTCTTGCTCTGCCCAATGCTTGCTCTGCCCAATCCTTGCTCTGCCCAATCCTTGCTCTGCCCAATCCTTGCTCTGCCCAATCCTTGCTCTGCCCAATGCTTGCTCTGCCCAATCCTTGCTCTGCCCAATGCTTGCTCTGCCCAATCCTTGCTCTGCCCAATGCTTGCTCTGCCCAATCCTTGCTCTGCCCAATCCTTGCTCTGCCCAATCCTTGCTCTGCCCAATCCTTGCTCTGCCCAATGCTTGCTCTGCCCAATCCTTGCTCTGCCCAATGCTTGCTCTGCCCAATCCTTGCTCTGCCCAATGCTTGCTCTGCCCAATCCTTGCTCTGCCCAATGCTTGCTCTGCCCAATCCTTGCTCTGCCCAATCCTTGCTCTGCCCAATCCTTGCTCTGCCCAATCCTTGCTCTGCCCAATGCTTGCTCTGCCCAATCCTTGCTCTGCCCAATGCTTGCTCTGCCCAATCCTTGCTCTGCCCAATGCTTGCTCTGCCCAATCCTTGCTCTGCCCAATCCTTGCTCTGCCCAATCCTTGCTCTGCCCAATCCTTGCTCTGCCCAATGCTTGCTCTGCCCAATCCTTGCTCTGCCCAATGCTTGCTCTGCCCAATCCTTGCTCTGCCCAATGCTTGCTCTGCCCAATCCTTGCTCTGCCCAATGCTTGCTCTGCCCAATCCTTGCTCTGCCCAATCCTTGCTCTGCCCAATCCTTGCTCTGCCCAATGCTTGCTCTGCCCAATCCTTGCTCTGCCCAATGCTTGCTCTGCCCAATCCTTGCTCTGCCCAATGCTTGCTCTGCCCAATCCTTGCTCTGCCCAATGCTTGCTCTGCCCAATCCTTGCTCTGCCCAATGCTTGCTCTGCCCAATCCTTGCTCTGCCCAATGCTTGCTCTGCCCAATCCTTGCTCTGCCCAATGCTTGCTCTGCCCAATCCTTGCTCTGCCCAATGCTTGCTCTGCCCAATCCTTGCTCTGCCCAATGCTTGCTCTGCCCAATCCTTGCTCTGCCCAATGCTTGCTCTGCCCAATCCTTGCTCTGCCCAATGCTTGCTCTGCCCAATCCTTGCTCTGCCCAATGCTTGCTCTGCCCAATCCTTGCTCTGCCCAATGCTTGCTCTGCCCAATCCTTGCTCTGCCCAATGCTTGCTCTGCCCAATCCTTGCTCTGCCCAATGCTTGCTCTGCCCAATCCTTGCTCTGCCCAATGCTTGCTCTGCCCAATCCTTGCTCTGCCCAATGCTTGCTCTGCCCAATCCTTGCTCTGCCCAATGCTTGCTCTGCCCAATCCTTGCTCTGCCCAATGCTTGCTCTGCCCAATCCTTGCTCTGCCCAATGCTTGCTCTGCCCAATCCTTGCTCTGCCCAATGCTTGCTCTGCCCAATCCTTGCTCTGCCCAATGCTTGCTCTGCCCAATCCTTGCTCTGCCCAATGCTTGCTCTGCCCAATCCTTGCTCTGCCCAATGCTTGCTCTGCCCAATCCTTGCTCTGCCCAATGCTTGCTCTGCCCAATCCTTGCTCTGCCCAATGCTTGCTCTGCCCAATCCTTGCTCTGCCCAATGCTTGCTCTGCCCAATCCTTGCTCTGCCCAATGCTTGCTCTGCCCAATCCTTGCTCTGCCCAATGCTTGCTCTGCCCAATCCTTGCTCTGCCCAATGCTTGCTCTGCCCAATCCTTGCTCTGCCCAATGCTTGCTCTGCCCAATCCTTGCTCTGCCCAATCCTTGCTCTGCCCAATCCTTGCTCTGCCCAATGCTTGCTCTGCCCAATCCTTGCTCTGCCCAATGCTTGCTCTGCCCAATCCTTGCTCTGCCCAATCCTTGCTCTGCCCAATCCTTGCTCTGCCCAATCCTTGCTCTGCCCAATGCTTGCTCTGCCCAATCCTTGCTCTGCCCAATGCTTGCTCTGCCCAATCCTTGCTCTGCCCAATGCTTGCTCTGCCCAATCCTTGCTCTGCCCAATGCTTGCTCTGCCCAATCCTTGCTCTGCCCAATGCTTGCTCTGCCCAATCCTTGCTCTGCCCAATGCTTGCTCTGCCCAATCCTTGCTCTCCCTAATCCTTGCTCTGCCCAATCCTTGCTCTGCCCAATGCTTGCTCTGCCCAATCCTTGCTCTGCCCAATGCTTGCTCTGCCCAATCCTTGCTCTGCCCAATGCTTGCTCTGCCCAATCCTTGCTCTGCCCAATGCTTGCTCTGCCCAATCCTTGCTCTGCCCAATGCTTGCTCTGCCCAATCCTTGCTCTGCCCAATGCTTGCTCTGCCCAATCCTTGCTCTGCCCAATGCTTGCTCTGCCCAATCCTTGCTCTGCCCAATGCTTGCTCTGCCCAATCCTTGCTCTGCCCAATGCTTGCTCTGCCCAATCCTTGCTCTGCCCAATCCTTGCTCTGCCCAATCCTTGCTCTGCCCAATCCTTGCTCTGCCCAATGCTTGCTCTGCCCAATCCTTGCTCTGCCCAATGCTTGCTCTGCCCAATCCTTGCTCTGCCCAATGCTTGCTCTGCCCAATCCTTGCTCTGCCCAATGCTTGCTCTGCCCAATCCTTGCTCTGCCCAATGCTTGCTCTGCCCAATCCTTGCTCTGCCCAATGCTTGCTCTGCCCAATCCTTGCTCTGCCCAATGCTTGCTCTGCCCAATCCTTGCTCTGCCCAATGCTTGCTCTGCCCAATCCTTGCTCTGCCCAATGCCTTGCTCTGCCCAATCCTTGCTCTGCCCAATGCTTGCTCTGCCCAATCCTTGCTCTGCCCAATGCTTGCTCTGCCCAATCCTTGCTCTGCCCAATGCTTGCTCTGCCCAATCCTTGCTCTGCCCAATGCTTGCTCTGCCCAATCCTTGCTCTGCCCAATGCTTGCTCTGCCCAATCCTTGCTCTGCCCAATGCTTGCTCTGCCCAATCCTTGCTCTGCCCAATGCTTGCTCTGCCCAATCCTTGCTCTGCCCAATCCTTGCTCTGCCCAATCCTTGCTCTGCCCAATGCTTGCTCTGCCCAATCCTTGCTCTGTCCAATTCTTGCTCTTCTCACTCAGCTCCTATAATCCTAGTCCCTCATCCGCCAATGGCTTTCTTAAATGCCCTAGGCGTATGCTTATCTTCCCCCCCCGCTTCAAGCGGTGGCAGCAGTGCTGCAGCAGCAGGAGCAGGACCCATGGAACCCTGTCCCCTCGCCCGTCATAGCTACACGATCCACATGTGTCCACTCATGTGCGTGTGTTTGCAACCTCCTTTTCTTTTCCACCCCGCGTGCAGCCGTGGCAGCAGTGCTACAACTCTTAGTTGACATTTTACGTTTACGGGGGTTTACGTGTACGTGACTTTACGTAGTAAACTTACGTTTCCTTACGTGGGCCCAAAACAGCTTTACGTTTACGGTCAGCCAGAAACATTTCTGATTGCCCGGAAAGATAGGAAATCATCGGATTAAGCGGCTGCATGGGAAGCGCCTAATCAATCACTAGCTTGGTTCTTCTATGCCCAAGCATGTTTGACATTATTACATCAACTTACAGATGCCCCAAATCTACACCGACATGTCACAGCCTCTCCCACCTCATATCAGTCAGGTTTTTCCATTTCGCAGGCAAAAAAAAACTTTTTTGCCCTGCCCCTGCAACTTTACGTAATATTACGCGTAAGAAAACGTAAAGGTAAACTCAACGTAAGTTTACGCTTTACGTGACCCTAAAAAACGTAAAGTACCAACTAAGCTACAACTGGAGCAGGACCCGTGGACGCTGTCCCTTGCAATGCTCGTAAGACGTGTGCTCCTGACCGTGCATCAATCAACCCCCATCCCCATCTGTCCCCACCTGCGTGCAGCTGTGGCGGCAGTGCTACAGCAGGAACAGGACCCGTGGACACTGTCCCTCGCCTGCAAGCTGGCGTCCCTGCTGGCGCAATGCACACCGTAAGATGCGTCCCTGCTGGCGCAATGCACACCGTAAGATGCGTCCCTGCTGGCGCAATGCACACCGTAAGATGCGTCCCTGCTGGCGCAAAGCACACCGTAAGATGTGATCTCCCCCTCTGTTGAAGAACCTCTTCTTATCAATCTAATGCTTCTACCCAGCACAGCACACCACCCTCACCTCTCTCCCCACATTTTCCTTTCTCCATAAGGTACCACCGCCTCCGCTCCTCCCCTTGCCCCCGTTTGATTCTCTAGTAGACTAACGCGCTCCTGCCATCCCACCCCCTCCCCTTCCTACCTTGTTGAATCTCCGTTAAATCCCCTTCCTGTAACCCCATTAAGGTACCATCGTCTCCGCTCCACCCCTCGTTTGAGTCACATCCTGCCCTCCGCTCTAGTCACGCGGATATCGACTCTCCTCTCGCCAGGCCCCCTCTCCTCCTCCTCCTGGTCCACCAGCATGTCTTATAGCGAGGATGGCATCTCCACTGCTTCTGTAAGCAGCTAAAAACACATACCCTTTCATCTTGGTTCGTATTCGCACCGTTTTTAAGATTGTTTTGCACAACATATGTTTGTATGTGCATGCGCTTCTGTGCGGATGCGAGCACAGGAAAGCATTGAAGCTCTGCAATCTCCCATATCTACTCCAAGTTTCAGTCATTTGTGTGTGCATGTGTGCGCGTGTGTGTGCGTGCGTGCGTGCGTGCGTGCGTGCATGCGTGCGTGCGCGCGCGTGTGTGTGTGTGTGTGTGTGTGTGTGTGTGTGTGTGTGTGTGTGTGTGTGCGTGTGCGTGTGTGTGTGTGTGCGTGTGTGCGTGCGTGTGTGTTTGTGTGTGTCTGTGCGTGCGTGCCTGGCTTCGTGCGCGTGCATGCGTGCGTGTGTGAGCATGTATGTACTCCATGTACAAGCAGGCAGCCACAGCAGCAGCAGCGACAGCCTCTCTGGGCCATGTCCTCTCGCGCTCCACGCTCCCTCCCCCACAACCACCCGCCACAGCTGCCACAACCAACCCATCAACCATCACATTCACATGCTTGCTCTCGTGGGTGCAGCCTTGCATTCCCACAGCAGTACGCGTCGAAGCCCTTCAGGTGCGCGCCCTGGTTGACGCACCCAACCCAGGTGCATCCTTTGGGGAGGATCGTGTGGTCGGCAGGAAGAATGAGCGAGGGCTTGGCAGGAAGAATGAGCGAGGGCTTGGCAGGAAGAATGAGTGAGGGCTTGGCAGGAAGAATGAGCGAGGGCTTGGCAGGAAGAATGAGCGAGGGCTTGGCTGGAAGAATGAGCGAGGGCTTGGCAGGAAGAATGAGAGGGAAACGGGGTGGCCTGGTTTCCTTCCTTCCCTGCTCACCTACCCCGTTTCCCTCGCATTCTTCCTGCCAAACCCTAGCGGCATGAGTGTCCACACTTTCCCCACCATACACCATCCATTTCTTCAACCAACCTCCCTCCCGCTTATCTCCACCCTCCTCATACATCTCATTCCCCCATACCCCCATCTCATTCCCCCATACCCCCATCTCATTCCCCCATACCCCCATCTCATTCACCCATTCCCCCATCTCATTCCCCCATACCCCCATCTCATTCCCCCATACCCCCATCTCATTCCCCCATATCCCCATCTCATTCCCCCATACCCCCATCTCATTCCCTCATTCCTCCAGGCACTAGCCGCCTGGGTGTCAACATTCCCTGCAGCTGCCGCCGAGCCTCACTGGCCCGACCTCTTTGCCCTCGTCACCGCCACTTTGGCTCCTCCCAGTACACCTACCAAGCTTAACACTGCAAGCGCCTTTTTTGAGGCGCCTCAAAAACCACCTACCAAGCTTAACACTGCAAGCGCCTCAGGAACACACACTGCCGTGCAAGATGAGGATGAGGCCCCTATTGCGCACCCTGACAGCACCTGCTCGCTGCAGGCTGAACCGACTCTCACTGACCGCCTCCACCCTGCAGCACTCAAGGTACGCTTCTCGCAGTCCCTCTCTCCTCCTCAGACTTTCCTGCTCCTCACATTCCCTCCTTCACTAATATTCCTGTTCTACCCCTCCTCTTACCACTTTTCCTCCCCTAAACCCTGTCCCCCCCGCTCTCGTCACCACATTGCATCTCATCGTTCCGTCTGCCTGCTTCTGCTCATCCCTCCCCACCACTCTTGCGCCACCACAGCTGCTGGACCAACTGCTCACCACATTGGCAAGCACGCGAGGAGCTGGGGTAGGAGGAGCAGCAGCGGCAGGCATTGCAGGGCAGGCAGGGCAGCAGCAGCACGAGGTGGAGGTGGGAGGAGGAGGAGGAGGAGGAGGAGAGGGGGAGGAAGAGGGCGAGGGCATGCGACGGCAGCTGAAGGTCACTTGGAACACGCGCAACAGAGTGCCGCCTGCTTGCGCTTTCTGCCAATGCTACTGTGCATGCCCAAACCACCAGCACCAGCAGCAACAAGAGGGGGGGGTAGCCCCTTTCTCCTCAGCCACATCACCTGCCTGTGCTACTGCAGTGTGTGCCGCTGCCACAGCTGCCACAGCTGCTACAGCCTGTGCCCCTCCCTTAACAGGTCCTGCCACATCCTGCTGCCCTGCAACATCAGCCTGTGCCTCTGCAGCTTTACCTGCTGCTGTACGTACTGCTTCCTCTGTGATTGGCAACGACGTCTCTTCATCCAATCAGCTGCTGACACGTGTCCCTCCTCCTGGTGCCTCGCAATGGGCTGAGGTGCTCCGCCTTGGCCTGCTGCCGCCCCTCCTCCGACACCCCTCTCCTCCGGTACAGTGCGGTCATATAGGGTAGTATGTTTATGAAGAGTGGTAGGCTATGGTAATGGTTATCATCAGGTGGGTACCGCATAGGCCTGCCGCCACGCCACTCCTCCTCAGCCACCCCCCTCGTGCAATATGATAGGGTGATCAGGGGTGATATGTCTTTTGAGTCGACTAAAAAATGACCAGGGGTGATACGGTACATACATTGTCAGGGTGAAGAACGGCAGGGTATGGTAATCACGCTGCCCATGTAATAGGGACCAACCAGGTGAGGAATGATACAGGAAGAAAAGGTGGTATGGTATGGCATGATGGGAGGGCATTTAGCCATGCGACTTAGCATCAAACCAGATTCGTTGATCCGGCCAAAATGCCTTTCCATTCCACCCATCTGCTCGCTCGCCTCTGTCTCCCTCAATAGATCCACACTGCGCTGCTCACATGCTTCCTGCGCATGCCATGCCGCGTGTTGTTGCAAGCATACTTGCTGCTGCATGCCATCCGTCCCATACTTGCTGCTGCATGCCATCCGTCCAATACTTGCTGCTGCATGCCATCCGTCCTATACTTGCTGCTGCATGCCATCCGTCCCATACTTGCTGCTGCATGCCATCCGTCCCATACTTGCTGCTGCATGCCATCCGTCCTATACTTGCTGCTGCATGCCATCCGTCCCATACTTGCTGCTGCATGCCATCCGTCCCATACTTGCTGCTGCATGCCATCCGTCCCATTCTGTTTCCCTCGCCCTATCTCCCCTGCTCCTCTCCCTCCAGATGCGCAGGGCAGCGTCATGCCCCATTATTATCAACTGCACTTGGTGACTTTTGAGTCGACTCAAAAGTCACCTCTTTATTATCAACTGCACTTGGTAACTTTTGAGTCGACTCAAAAGTCACCTCGTTGTTATCAACTGCACTTGGTGACTTTTAAGTCGACTCAAAAGTCACCTCGTTATTATCAACTGCACTTGGTGACTTTTGAGTCGACTCAAAAGTCACCTGTTATTATCAACTGCACTTGGTGACTTTTGAGTCGACTCAAAAAGTCACCTCGTTATTATCAACTGCACTTGGTGACTTTTGAGTCGACTCAAAAGTCACCTCGTTATTATCAACTGCACTTGCGCATCATCGTTCCGCTCACCCTGGATCCCTCTCCGCCCCTCCGCCCCTCCTCCCTTCCAGCAAGATTTGCCTGGCAACATTCACATGCTTCGTGCACATTCATGCAGCGCCCACCCTGCAGTACCATCGCCTAAGGTCACGACGAGTCACAACTCCATTTCTCCCTCCCCTCTCATCCTCTCCCACCCCTCCCTCCCTCCCACCAGGTGCGCATGGCAGCGCTCACATGCTTCCTGCACATGCCAGCACCCACTCTGCAGTACCTCTCCCACATGCATGACGTCATCTTCCAGCCAATGGTATGCTTCCACGTGTCCACCTCTCTTGCCCACAACCTGGGCCTTCTGTGAACAGCATGCCTGGGACTAGCTTCTCTACGTTTCTGTGGCTCCCTCAACCGCGGGATAATCAAATCCTCCTCGCAATCATTGTTTTGTTGTTCCTACTCGTTTTCCCCTCTCTCTCAGGCCCCTCTCCCATCTCCCTTCGTTGCGTGTGCCAGTTCGCCCTGGCAGCAGGCGAGTCGGTGCCAGCAATCCAAGCAGCATTGATGAAGGTCTTTGGAACCATTCTGCTGCACCTCATGCCCGCACTGTGAGTGCTGCACCTCATGCCCGCACTGTGAGTGCTGCACCTCATGCCCGCACTGTGAGTGCTGCACCTCATGCCCGCACTGTGAGTGCTGCACCTCATGCCCGCACTGTGAGTGCTGCACCTCATGCCCGCACTGTGAGTGCTGCACCTCATGCCCGCACTGTGAGTGCTGCACCTCATGCCCGCACTGTGAGTGCTGCACCTCATGCCCGCACTGTGAGTGCTGCACCTCATGCCCGCACTGTGAGTGCTGCACCTCATGCCCGCACTGTGAGTGCCGCCCACCGCGCATGCCGGAATCGGAATTGCTTTATGTGCACATACTGGCAACTTGCAACCAGGTAACAAGTGAGCTTCGTGTGCATTGGTTTCACTGCAAAATGGCAAGCAACGGAGCGTGGGACAAAGCAAGCAGCAAGCACGTGAACAGTGTCTACCTATTCATGCCTCCCACATGCGCTGCCTGTTGCTCGCGCACTCCATCTATCCATTTTGCAGTCCCCAGTAGGTTTTACACAGGACCTCTTCTGGGTTTCACACAGACCTCTTATCTCACCAGCCCTCCCCCTGTATCTCTCTCCCTTGGGCACGTCTAATTTTAGAAGGACTCAAAGAGACCACCAGACCACGTCCCTGCAAGATTCGTCATCACCATCACCCTCAACTCCCTCGTTTGAGACATCTCACGATGTTCCCTCCTCGTCTGCGTTGAGCCTCTTCTCCCACGGCCGCATGCTGCTGCTTCAAGCCTGCTCCTCTTCTTCCGTCCCTGTGAGTGCCGTCTGTGCACACTGCAAAGCTATTTGCATAATGTAGCGCCAGTGCATTGCACCGCACCGCACTGCACCCCATGCGACCCATCCAACCTCTTTTTCAATGCATCGCGCCTCTGTGCCTCTGTCCATCCACCTTCTTTGACTTCTCTTCTCGCGTCGACCTTTAAACTCTCTCACTGTGTTTTTGTAACCATTTAGCTTCATTTACTTTTGACATCTTGTTATTACCCCCATTTTAGAAAATTGCTAACTTAACAAGGCTGCCATCTGTGTGATCCTTCCTTACATCCATGCATAAATCCTACCTGTCCCCTCCTTTCCCCTGCCACAATGTTCCCTCACTAACATCTATTGAGTCGCCTCAATCACCCACCCCCTCCCCCCACCTCCCCTCTCTTCCCCCCCACCCCATCCCCCTCTACTTCCCCCAACCGCAGGTCCGATCTGCTGCAATGTGGTCTCTTGCCAACTTCTCAGAGCGTCTGCCGCCTATGCACTGTAGCCTTGATCAATGTAGCACCATTCATTGTAGCAGCAGCTTGCGCTGTAGCATCAATAACTGTCGCAGCAATCACTGCGGCAACGTGCAGAGCAGTAGAAGGGATGGTTCTAGCAGTGGCAGCGTGGTGGGCCCCCAGGCGCACGTTGGTGTGGAATGGAGTGCAGCCTGGTGGGGTGCAGCCTGGTGGTCTCTTGCTAACGCTGCTGTGAAGGGAGCAGGCGACAGCGATAAGGTACGTTATAGTAAGCAGGAGACTCGTACCATGCAAGGTAGTTTACAAAAAGACTTCGCAAAATCCATCTCGCCCAGTAATTTTCCTCCATCTCTTGCTCCTCTACCTCACCTCCTCCCCCAACTCTCTGTCATCCCTACCCCACCTACCAGGTCAAAGCCAGTGCCGTTCGACTGTTGGGTGCTCTCGCCCGCTGCTGCTGCTTCTGCCATCGCTGCTGCCCACACGCCGATGCAGCAAGCTCGGCCAGGCCCTGCTGCTTCGATCTCCACACTGCCACTGCCACTGCCACTGCCACTGCCACGTGCCATTCTCGCTGCCCAGCAGGCAGTGCCGGCGATTCTGAGACAGGAGTGCAAGTGAGGCAGTGCCTTCAGAGTAACCGCCAGTGCTGCTGTGAGAGTCAACAAGCAGTGAAGGGTGAAGCAGTGGAGGGATGTGGTACTGGCAGGGGCATCTGTGGCATTTCTAAGTGTGGTGACTGTAACAAGGGTGATCAGCAGCAGCAGATTCAGCACTGCCCTGCTGATAGCTGTTGCAGCAGCAGAGCGAATGCTGGCTTGACTCAAGTCGTGAGACTTGAGCCAGAAGCAGCAAGGACTGCACCAGCAAAGGGAGGCGGAGAAGGAGGAAGTGCTCACATGCATAGGAGGAGGGAAGCTGCGAAGCAGGCGGCAGCAAGTGCACGGGAGGAGGTCCAGGGGAAGGAGAGCAGTTATGGAGTGTCGGGGGCATGGCAGGAACGAGTGGTTGAAGGCATTCTCTCATGTGCCTTGCAGAGCAACCCCAAGGTGAATGAATAGGCTGTGACGGTGACAGTGTGTGGAGAGTGGGGAGTGTGAGTTGTGAGTGGGGAGTGGAAAGTTGAGAGTGGGAAACGGGAGCAGAAGAGGTGGAGTGAGTGTGTCTGAATGGCTGTACTCCTGTTCATGTTCTCTCTACCCGTCCGTCTCTGTTTCTCCCGTACCCTTTCCCGCCATGCCCTGTCCCTCTCTCCTCCCCTCTTCCTTTCTGCTCTCAACATCCGCAGTTGCAGTCTGCAGCCTTCTCTTTATATCTCTCTTCCCCTGTCCCCCTTTTCTCACTTCTCTGCAGCCATCTATTTCATCTCCTCTTCCCTTCCCCACTTTTCCTCCTCGCCACCTCGGCTCTCACCATACATAGGTGCAGTGGAGTGTGTGTGCAGCCCTCTCCCTCTTCCTCCAAAACCCCTCCGTCCACCTACCATCTTCTCCCTGGTACGTCACTCGCACTTGGATACCTCTTTTGTATTCCCCTCTCTTTTCTCCCTTTATCTCGATCGTAGGGTCGCATCCCGACTCCTCTTCAATCATCCTGACTGCCCATGAAGCACCCCGACTGCCCATGAAGCACCCCGACTGCCATACGACCCATACATCTCAAAGAGCCTCAGGAGACTAGGTAGGTAGTCGGATAAGATCTGGACTCTGGAAAATATCTAGATAAATTTCAGCAACAAGGTTGGTTGAAATTCCTACTGAACCAACCACCTTCAAAGGCAAGTAGGCGTAAATCCGAACTTGGCGTGCCTTCGCGGTTCACCTCAAGGCCAAGTACATGCCTTTCAAAACGTGGCCTGTACATGAAAGATCAACGTGCTCTAAACATGGCCGATACACTGTAACACTATGGTAAACGATGGAGCAAACTGTGGCCTATTCCAACTATACGGCCCACGCTGCCCCTACTGCCCCTACTGCCCCTACTGCCCCTACTGCTCCTACTGCCCCTACTGCCCCTACTGCCCCTACTGCCCCTCATCCCTACTCGTCCAGATTCAAGCTCGTCTGCTGATGCTCTCATTCACCTCTGCTGCTCTCATTCACCTCTGCTGCTCTCATTCACCTCTGCTGCTCTCATTCACCTCTGCTGCTCTCATTCACCTCTGCTGCTCTCATTCACCTCTGCTACTCTCATTCACCTCTGCTGCTCTCATTCACCTCTGTTGCTCTCATTCACCTCTGCTGCTCTCATTCACCTCTGCTGCTCTTATTCACCTCTGCTGCTCTCATTCACCTCTGCTGCTCTCATTCACCTCTGCTGCTCTCATTCACCTCTGCTGCTCTCATTCACCTCTGCTGCTCTCATTCACCTCTGCTGCTCTCATTCACCTCTGCTGCTCTCATTCACCTCTGCTGCTCTCATTCACCTCTGCTGCTCTCATTCACCTCTGCTGCTCTCATTCACCTCTGCTGCTCTCATTCACCTCTGCTGCTCTCATTCACCTCTGCTGCTCTCATTCACCTCTGCTGCTCTCATTCACCTCTGCTGCTCTCATTCACCTCTGCTGCTCTCATTCACCTCTGCTGCTCTCATTCACCTCTGCTTCCTCCCCAACAATTCATGCCCTTTACTCCCTCCCCTTTTCTCTTCTCCGGCAGCTTTTCACCCTCAGCCCTTCCCCCTCCCACCTTCGTTCTTCCCTGTTCCCCCTCCCTTTCCTCTCTTTCCCTTCCCCCCTTCCCCCTGCCTGTTGTTCTCTGTCCCCTTTCCCTTTCGAGGTTCCCCTTGCCCTCCTGCCCTTCTTTCCGATTCCTTTCCTCCCCCTCCCTCCCCCTCCTCCCTTTTTCCTTCCCCCTTTCCCCCTTCCCCTTCCCCCCACCAGGACTGGCCCCGTGCTGGCCACACTGCAGGCTCTCTTGCAGCGCTCTTCCAACTTCAAGATCCGCATCCACGCTGCTGCCGCCCTCATCCAGCCATGCACAAGGGCAGGTGAGAGAGCTGGCACAGGTGGGAGCTGAGGCAGGTGAGGGCTGGGGCAGGCGAGAGCTGAGGCAGGTAAGGACTGGGGCAGGCGAGAGCTGAGGCAGGTGAGGACTGGGGCAGGCGAGAGCTGAGGCAGGTGAGGACTGGGGCAGGCGAGAGCTGAGGCAGGTGAGGACTGGGGCAGGCGAGAGATGAGGCAGGTGAGGACTGGGGCAGGTGGGAGCTGAGGCAGGTGAGGACTGGAGCAGGCGAGAGCTGGGGAAGGTGAGAGCTGGGGAAGGTGAGAGCTGGGGAAGATGAGAGCTGGGGAAGGTGAGAGCTGGATCATGAGTATCTGCCACCTGTTTGCATTCCTGATTGCTCCCCAACCTTCTCACTCTCTCCAACATCAGAACATGGCACGGAAGCCAGTGCTATCGTGTTGCGTGATTGCACTCATGCCTAACTGCCTTCGCTTTGCTTCCCACCCAACCAACCCCTTCTCCTCACTCCCCTTAACGTCAGACTACGGCCCGGAATTTGGTGCTATCCTGCACGCCCTTGTCTCATCGCTCTCCTCACTTGATGCAGCAGACGAGCAAAGTGCAGTCGAGCAGCGGTACAAGCCAGTGCTGAGGGATCAGGTGCGGTGGGGGAGGATGGGAATGGGGTGAATAGAGCAGGTAGCACTGTAATACTAGTGTGACAAGGCGGCGTTGGGTATGGCATTAGTCTTGGGTGCGTATGGGACGGTGCTAATTGGGGAACAGCAGAGTGCAGTGGGCAGCGGTAGAAGCTGGTGCTGAGGGATCAGGTGCGGTGGGGTGAATGGAGCAGAGTATGTAAGCGGGGTGTGGGGGGGTATTTGGCGGTTGGTGGTGTTGGTGTGTAGTTGACAGCGGTATTTCAGCTGGAAGAGCAGCAGAGCGCGGTGGGCAGTGGCACAAACTGCTGCTGAGGGAGCAGGTTAGGGGTGGGTGATTGGAGGGGGATAATGCATGAATCACTGTGGAGAAATCTAAAAAATGATTCAAGCAGATGTAATGTACTTGTATTTAGGCTGCAGGTACCAGCACTGAAGGTTCTATCTCCTTGCGACTGGCATGCAATCCGATGTTCCTGCATCTTTGTCACATCATGTTCATGTCTGCGTGACGTCATGCACATGTCTGTGAGACGTCATGTGCATGTGTGTGACGTCATGTGAATGTGTGTGTGACATCATGTGCATGTCTGTGAGACGTCATGTGCATGTCTGTGTGACGTCATGTGAATGTGTGTGTGACATCATGTGCATGTCTGTGTGACATCATGTGCATGTCTGTGTGACGTCATGTGAATGTGTGTGTGTGACATCATGTGTATGCCTGTGTGAGATCATGTGCATATCTGTGTGACATATCATGTGCAAGTCTGTTTCACATGTGCATGTACGGCATCAGATCGCAGCAACACTCCTCCACATGACCTCGCTCGCCTCTCCTCAAGACCTGTGCAACGTCCGCCAATTGTTGCAGCAGGTATGGCGGATGGGCGTGCAGATGGTGTGCCGGCTCTGCATCACACTCCTTGTCCTGTTGCGTCACTTTCCCATCCTCTGCCTATGTGCCTGTCTATCCAACTGGCCATCGTTTGTCAGACAGAAATGCATTCATGCACTGGTTATGTCAAGCCAGCACCTAACCCTCCCCTGTGCCACTTGTATGCTTGCAATGGTCCTGGCCCTACCCTAAACCCTGCTTCCAGCATGCAGAGTGCATATCCCACGCCGTGGAATCCGCACGCTCCACAGCACTTCGTGCCTTGGCTCATTCTGTCCCCTTTACAAGCATTTCCGATAAGCCACTGGCTTCAACAGCTCTGCAGGCTGTTCCTTTGGTCGACCCGCGTGGCACTCTGTGCACTCACCAGCAGCATTACTCTTGCGGATCGGCCAGTGCTGCAGGCAGTGATAAATGTGATGGTGCTGCTGCCAGTGATGGCTGTGGTAGTGCTGGCCGAGATTGTGGTGCATCATTTGCGCTCTGTAGCTCAGCATCAAGAGTAGCTGGCATGTGTGCATGCTGCCATGTGAAACTGGCAGCTACTGAGATAAGGAGATTGACGTCCCTGTTACAAGACAAGGGTGATGATGGAAAGATAGTATAGCTGGAGTGAAACCATATGTGACTTAATGAAGTTATTGTGATGAATTAAGATTCTTAATACCATAGCAAATGTGTGTATGGAAGGAAACAAACAACGCAACATGGGTTCCACTTTTTAAGCACATACCGTCGCATACCATGTTGTGATATGAAAGTGGTACCGTGCTGCGCTGGAAGCCGACACGAGCCCGTGAAGGCCGCTGTATGCGGTGATGTTACACATGCAATAAATTTTTTATTTTTGTCCTTTCAGATTCCAATATACACACTTGTGCCTTAGGTTCATATTTGACATTTTGTTTATAGCTGCTCTATGCTTATTCACGTTGTTGTATTTTTTTTTTTATTTTTTTTAAATATGTTAAGATATACACCGATGATGCTAGTGCATACAAACATATATCAGTCGTAACTGAGCGTGAGAGGCCCGGCAGCGTGCCAGCCTCAGGGGACGACTCTAAGGGGGATGCAGTGCCCCTCGCGCAAGATTCCACAGCGCGCCAAAGCGATGGGACCATTTCCAGCCCTTGCCATTCAGAGACCGGACACGTCCAAGGAGCCGACCCTCCTGTTCTGCCAGCGCGTATGTCTTCCCGCCCTGCCTCAAGTCACCCTTCATGTTCAGCTTTATCCCTGTTGCCCGAGTGTACACCCGCACATGGAGCCTGAAAGCTGCTTCAATCCTCCTCAGCACCCGCCTGGCCCGAAACCTCTTGCCTCGAAACACGCAATCACACCGTTCTGCCCAAATCTGGTGTATTGCGATTGCCGAGAGAGATGCTTCCGGAAAAGCTGAGGTGGAAGCGGTGTTGCCAAACAGTAGGTCACCCAAGCTGTCAACATGCCTCGTCGGATTCAGCATGCGCAGAGCCTTCCGAACTGCCCCCACAACCGTCTGGATCCTTGGACAGGTGTAGAGGCAATGTTCCAGAGTTTCAAACTCCCCGCAATGCGGGCAGACCGGCTTTCCACTCAGGAAGGAAAGCCGTTCGCCCACCTGAAGGTTGAGACTGTGAATTCTCAGCAGCACATCCCGCGGTCGGTTCGGCGTCACCGGCGAGTCCCGAATTTTCACAACCCTTTTCCAGGCAATGGCTCCTGCCCATCTGCCCGCCCAGAGCTCCCGTTTGGCCGATTGATGTTTCGACTGTTGCCAGTTCCCCTTCAACTCCTTCAGCGATGGTATCCCCCCACCACTGAAAGCCGCTGTGCGCTGTAGCGGAGTGCGGAGCTGGGTGGTGGGTGCACAGGATTGCTCGGCTGAGAGGAGAAGCAGTTTCCAGCTCTGCGGTGCAGCCTCCCACGCCCGTAGAGCAAGCTTTGCCTGCTTCGAGCCACCGAGCTCCCTCGCTAGGGTTTTGACATCCTTCACACACCAGCCCCCGTCCTCACCCGCGACCAGCAGGTTACCCAGACGCACCTCCCACAATTTTCCTGCGGCTTTCTGGCTGCCCACTGGAGTCATGCCATTCATCAGGATATGGCGGTTGAAAACGATCCGTTCCTTCGCAGCTTCCTCCCGTGATAATTCAAGCGACGTGCTGGCGAGCGGCGACTGCATGAAGTTAGCGCACGCAAGCTTCCACCGCTCGCTTTTCCCGCGCCAGCATTTGAGCAGCTTCACGTGGGCGACGAAAGTGTCCGTTCCCAGCGGCAGGTCCGCAGCTTGGAGCATGATGTCGCGTTTCAGCGCGTTTGTCTCGGTGAGCAGCAGCCCGATCTTCCTGGCAATTAAGCAGGTAAGTGCAATTTCAGGGTCCTTCACACCGACGCCCCCCTCTTCCCTGGCCATGTACAGCAGCTCTCTGCTCCACAGTATGAATTCCTTGTCGGTAGAGGCCCGGTTTCCCGACATGAAATTGTGCGTCAGTTTCAGTATCCTCCCCCAGATATCCATCGGCGGCGGGTACACCTGAGCCTGAAAGAAGATTATCGGTGAGACGTAGCAGTTGATCACCGCAGCACGCGCGCCAGTTGTAAGGTGCTGCGCCTCCCACTGCGACAATTTCCGCTTAATCTGTGCGAAAGCCTTCTCCCATGTAGGATTGCAGCTTCCAGCAGGAGTCACCCACACCCCCAGCAGCCTTTCTGCCTCATCGGCTTTCGCCCATTTGAAACCATCGGTCTTCCAGGGCTGCCTGCCCAGATTCGACCCCAGAGGTAAGACAACTGACTTCTCCTTGTTAGTGGCGAGACCTGACTCCCCTGCAAACTCTTCTAACAGCTTCTCTGCCTCTGCAATCTGCACCTCCCCCTCCAGGATAAGAGTTGTATCGTTGGCGTACCCAAGGTACGCCAGCCGCTGATCACCCTCGGAAACGCCTATCCTCCGGTTCACCGCTTCTTGCGCTAGCGGCTCCACCGCGCACAAAAACAGGTAAGGTGCAAGGGGGCAGCCCTGGCGCACCCCCGAGACCACATCGACCGCTTCACCAATCCAACCATTAACCAACAGACTTGTCCGTGTGTTCTCATGCAGGCCCCGAATCCATCCGACAAATCGGGGAGGAAAACCCATCTTCTCCAGCACCGTAAACAGGAATCCCCGCGACACAGAGTCGAAGGCCTTCCTGAAGTCAACGAGCAGGAGGTACCAATCTTTGTCCTTGTTTTTGGCTGCTTCAATAATATCCGCCACCAGCCCCACAGCATCCGACAACCTCCTCCCGGGTAAGAAGCCAAACTGCTCCGGTGAGACGACCTCCGAGAGCGCTTTCTTCATCCTGTCTGCTACCACACGCGCTATCACTTTGTAGGTGAAACTGAGCAATGTGATTGGACGGTAGTTCTCCAGCTGATCTCTGCCCCCTTTCTTGTGCAGCAGGATGGTCACCGCGTCTTTCGTGGAGGTTGGAAGGGACGCCGTGTCCGAGAAGCTTTTCACCAGCAACATGAAGTGTTTGCCCAAGATGTCCCAGTGCGCTTCAAAGAGCTCCTTTGGCAAGCCGTCCCGACCAGGAGCCTTATTTTTCGTCATCGACTGAAACGCGCGCTTAACCTCCTCTTCCGACCACTCAGCTGTCAGCGACTCCGCCACTGCTGACGACATCCTTCTGTCCGCCGAGGGTTCCCACTCAGATAAGACCGTCTGTCTGTCTGCTCCAAACAGCTGCCGGTAGTACTGCGAGGCTGCATCCAAAATGCTTTTGTTGTCACTAACCATTGTGCCTCCCACGTTTAACTCCGTGATTTGCGTGCGTGCCTTCCGGCCCTTAATCTTCGCAGATAAAAAAGGTGATGCGACTTCCCCCAACGTCACCTCCTTCATACCGGCCATCACGTGCAGTCTCTCCTGCCGCGACTGCTGATAGCTTCTCAGTTGGAGCTCCCTTTCACTCAGCAGGTCCTTGAGCCGGACGCAACTCGGGTCCCCCAGCCACGCTTGTTTCAGATCAGCAACCGCCTGATGAAGAAAGGACAACGTGGCGCGAACCCTCTTACTCTCCTCTCTGGCGTAAGCCTTGAGCCCCGCGTTCAGTCTCGCGATTAGCAACTCGTAATTGCCACCCGATTCCTCCATCTGATTCGACACCCGCTCAATCACCTTTCTGACACCCGGTCTCCCCACCATGTATGCAGGAAGCCTCCAGAGGCCCGGTCCCGTCTGCACTTGTGTGCTCATCCTGAAGGCCACCTTAATCGCGAAGCTGTGATCCGAGATTGGGTCGGCAGGCATGATGTGGGAGGCGAACTCAACATGCAATAGCAGAGATTGCGAGATGAGCGCGCGGTCTATGCGCGAGCTGGTCTGGCAGGCGTGTGAGTAGAAAGTGAACTCCCGCTTGAAGGGATGCAGAACGCGAAAGGCATCCGATAAACGGACGGCACTGCAGCGCTGGTACAACTCATCATTCTCCTTGGTCGTCCCCTTCCTGGAAGTCCTGTCCAGCAGCGGATCCTCCACCAGATTCAGATCCCCGAGGACAAGCAGGTGAGCGCCAGGCGGTACACCGTCAACCACTGGGCCCAGGACCCGACGGATGAAGGACTTCCTGTCCGTCACGTCCGCCGGGAAATACACTGCTACTAAGGTGATGTGAAAGGCGTCAAGCTGCACGTCTGCTTTGATCAGTCGGCCTGACGGGTGAATCAAAATGTTATGAAGTGATAAACCTTGTCTGCGACAGATCAGCGCAACACCGCCGGCTTTGGCAGTTGGTGAGGCAACTAAAGTCCTAGGCTGTTTGAGAGAGTTCCAGTATGGGTGGTCGTCTGCTAATCTTGAGTCTGAGAGTATAGTGATATCAGCTGCTTGCCTGATCCAGTTCTTCGTACGCTGTTGCTTGTTCCCGTCCCCCAGGCCGTTCACATTCAGGCCTGCTACTGTGAGAAGTTTTTTTGTACTCATTTGATCACTGCTTGATAGCCTCCCCTCATCCACAGGCTGGTGAAACATGCAACAGCTATGACAGAACAGATGACGGGAACAGCTGAAGAGCTACTGGTCAACCGATCCAGGTCAACAGTTAGATCCCGTACTCCTTGCGGATGGTGTTCAGGTTCAGCTTCTCGAGGGAGAGACGAGTGGCAGCACCCAGCTTCTCTAACCCCAGCAGATGACTTGCAAAAGTGATGTGGTCTGCAGCAGTCATGAAAGATTTGCCGTGCGCTTTCCCACAGCTGGCCTGGGTGCAGAGCCACTCCTCCCTGTTGCTCCCCGTCGAGATCAGAACAAAGGCCACATCCATGAGGAGAGGGGTGACAAGCGGAGAAGTGCGAAGAGAAGCAGCTGCGAGAGGCAAGCGAGATGTCAGAAGCCGAAGAAGGTAAGAAGCAACAAGAACAACCCCGACAACAGAACTGTAAGAGGCTGTTACCGTTAATCCTGTGTACCCGACCCACTGTGAGACTCCACTTCCCTATGTTATTCTGACGCTCCGTGACATAGACATCATGAAACTTGTCATAGTGATGTCCGCCACAGAGCGTGCAAGATAGCAAAGGGTAGTGGGCCAGCAGCGTCGTCCCGCCGAGCAGCTGATGACGAAACTCGTGTCGCCAGCGATGCTTGTCCCCCGCGTGCGGGATCACCAAGCCCTTGATCTTATCAGTGTCAGCGCCCGTGACCGGATGCAGCACGCGGTGGAAGCAGTGACCCTCGCTGAACGCGGACCGCTTGCGAACTTTCAGCTGGTGGACAGCCATCACATCCTTGACCAGTTCCGGCGGAATGTCAGCAGGTACACCCTTAAAGTAAACTTCCAGCATCTGCGGGTTAGCCGCCTTTGTACGAACGTAAGCCGGATCTTCCTGGTGAAGCCAGAAGCAGTGAATAGTCAAGCCATTCGGTCGCTTGTGGTCCACACTCATCTGCTTGACATTGTTCGCATCTGCTTCGTGCAGGAAGGAGACCTGGAGTCTGCTGTAACGTGACTTCGCGACATATGCAGGCAACAGCTCCTGAAACTTCACTGTGGTAAGAACACCGTCAGTAAAGATATGCGACCAAACACGCTTCATCAGCATCCTGACGGTAATAATAACAGAGGCAATCTCATGAGACGGAATGACCGGGAAGAGCAGTATCGCCGTGGACCGAAGATGCGATGCCGATCCTTTCTCATGATCAATTTCCAGCTCTTCGTCAGAGTCGTCCTCAATGAAGGTGTCATCAGGTACGACCGTAGCCAACGCCTTCAGCTTATCCTCAATGGATAATCCCGAGCTACCCGCAATGACTTCAGCTTCAGATGGCAGATTCTTCTCAATGTCTGACTTGCCGGTTGTCGTTTGCTTGGATGCAGCATCAGGCCCACCCAAAGTGGTTTCAGACGGCGGCACTTCGACGGCGGTCTTAGCGCGTGACCCTTTCGGCGGCATTGTGCAATGATGAACCAAAAACGGCAAAAACACAGAGCTGACGAGCTGATGAAGAGAATATGCCGGTGGTCTGAGCACAGAACTGACATATAGCCTGCCATTGCCATTGTTAGCGTAGACAGCTGACCAGTGCTCGTAACTCTGGTGTTGTGAAACCGAGGATAGAACCTCAGGATCGCGTCCATAGACGTAATCCAAACCACCAGTAATGTTAGCCCTTGGTAGTTGTTCCAGAGTGCCAGCAGAGCACCTAGAGAAGCCCGCGCAGACCTTGGGCTTAGTCGCTTGCACCAGTGAGATACTCCCTAGAGCAGTCGATATAATGTTCGCCTGATGAACATAAAAAATATATAGGCTGCTTCGTAAGGATGTAACGGATTCAATGCTGGTGAAATTAAAGCCATCAGGTGGCCAGGCTTCACGCAATGTGCTTGTCAGGCAAGTGTCAGGCAGCCATGGCGGCCTTGTCATGCTGATCTAGGTTGCTGCTGTGTGTTTCTGGGTTGTAAAGCATGTGAAGGAGAAGTGTAATCACGTTGTTGTATTACCTTCACCTAGCCCTGGTAGAGAGTCGTGAACAAAATGTCAGAAACGTGCAATAGGTCTATACACCGGATTGTGCATAGTGTCGCATATAGCTGAGTAGTGACTAGAGTCCCTGACGAGCAGCCCTCTCACGTAGTTCGATCAATCTGAATCAAGTGTATCCTGGCAATAAGCACATGTACAGCTGTGGATAACTTAATATAAAACGTAACAAGCTGCTTATGTTTACGTACTTATGGTCCCTTACTGCCCGTGTTGAGATTGGCGGAGGAAGGCGAAAAGTAGATTGGGTTTCAAAATATATTTTACCACTGAAGTTGGGGTGAGTGAAGAAAGGCACTAGGTGTAGGACCTTGACTAGCGTTTCTTTCGGAAGGCAGGCACGCTTTTTGTCCTCTCCCTAGCACTAGGTGTAGAACCTTGACTTGGTCTACGTATTCGTTCGAAGGTCTTCGTCCAATGCCTACGACTGCACCGCTAGGCCCCTTCAATAGTCTGTGGTAGGTATCGCCGTGCAGCCACCAATATCTGCCGGCCCTTTTCCCTCTGCACTAGAACGAGATCCACTCCACAAGTTTTCTTGGCCGGAGGTTTTCTGTCGCTCGCCGCACGTGAGAGGCGAGACGAGACAATGAACCTTCTCTCGCTGCACACCCCACTGGTTCACTGTTCTTGAAAGTCTTTCATTCTCGCCGACCTATCATTCCAGGCTAATGACAACGTCACGTTGCAGAATTGTCGTCTCCCGCCGGGAGAAATATCACAATTTTCTTTCGAATGTGTGGCTGATGGATGACGGCCAGTAGGGTTCTTCAGCCGCTCATAGGTCATAGTCGGCCTTTCAGCCAGTCGTTCTGACGCGAATTCGAATTCGTGGTTCGTGTGATCAAGACCGTGATAGACGCAGCCAATGACAGCAACCCATACACGTCACGTGCGATATCCTCCTTACGCCCAACGAACCAGACAGGTTACTGTACGCGGAGATATGACAGCTGTAACGCTAGAACCCGACAAGGTGACTGCAGTGGGGATATTGTTGATTGTGTAGGTGGTTGTGGTATTTTGCTCTAGCTGGTTGTGGGCTAAGGGTTTGGGCAAAATGTGGTGGTTAGACTTGTTGCGGGCTGGTATTGATCTCGCACCCAACAAGCACCAACAAACCTTTGCTATTCACTACAACACCTTTGGTGTTGCTAGTTTAGCACTTTGGGTTGTTGGGGATTGTTGTAGGGCGAGGGTTGGGTTGGTAGGGTTTGAACAACTCGTCACTTTTCAGATCTGAACTCTTGCTAAAGCTACTTTCTTGAACTAATCCATGGCTGCCTAGTAATTCTGCCAGGATACACCGTCGCACTTAGATCGCGATAGCGATCGGCCTAGATCTTTGTTGAATGCGTGCGTTACCATTCTGGAAAGTAGAGATTAAGACCTTTCTAACGCGTACCTGCTCATAGTTTAGGATTATGTGAGCTGTATGCAATGTTCCGTCGAAGTCGGCGGACTTAATCTCTTGTACGCTCGCCAGATTCGCTCGCTTTCCATCAGTGGTATCAGAGCTGGTTAGGCCTGCGACATTCCCTCTTTTCATCATATTTCGAATTGGTTGAAGGACCTCCAGATCTAGGGTTGGTCATGGCCCAGAAATTAGATGGCCCTCCTAGGTTCACTGGCTCGGATTTTTCGCTATGGCGGTTCCAGTTTACGCTTTGGCTAGGTATCAAAGACCTAGAAGGCGTTTTGGAGGGATCGGAGCGAAGACCTGAAGCTGATGAAGGAAAGGCATCTACTGGAGCCTCTAGCCAAGTGGGAGAAGGGGCTGGGGGAGCCTCTAGCTCATCCATAACTGAGGGAAGAAGAGGTGGATCAGCAGCATCGCGAACCGGAAGGCAACGGCTTAGTGCGGAGGAGCTTCTTAAGGCACAGGAAGCATGGGACCGCAAGGACAAGCAAGCGTTCCAGTACCTGTGTTGGGCCTTGGAAGGCCAACTAGAGCTCCTAAAGATGCTGATTGACCTGAAGGGCAAGCAAGGAGCAGCTGCACTAGCATGGAAGAGAGTTCAAGATCGACATTTGCAAAAGGGGTTGCTAAGCATACTCACCTGGAGGAAGCATTTCTACACCATGGAACGCAACTATGGCGATGGGGAGACCATGGTGCAGTATCTCGAGAGGGTGGATGAGTATGTGAGAGCCTTAGAGGAGTTGAACTACACTGTAGATGAGAAGGAGATCATCTACACCGCACTCCAGGGGCTGGACCAAGAGGTGAACGAGGCCCTACTGCAGTACCTTCACCTTGAGCAACAGAAATGGACCAAGGCCTGGATATGGGAGGTGTTGGTCTCTGATGAGGCTTGCAAACGGGATGCTGGTAGAATAGTTGAAGGGGGAATGGGGGCAGGGGATAGGGCTGTCTCCAAGAAATACCAGCAGCGTCAAGGAGGTGGGGGGAAGAAGAAGGAGCTCGACAAGTGCCTCGTCCCTGGATGCAACCGGAAGCATTCTTGGAAGGAGTGTTGGAGCCGTCCTGATGGGTGGAAGCCTCAAGAATACCCAGGAGAGGCTCCACCTGTCACTAGGCCTGAGTGGGTGGAGAGGAGGATGAAGAATGGAGCATGGAACAAGAAGGGCAGCAAAGAGAAATCGGCAGCAACGGCGGCAAACGAGAATAAGAAGGGAAAAGAGGACTCATCGGATGATGGTTTCTCCTTCTTATCCTTGGAGAAGGAGACGGCGCTTGCTGGTCGTGTGTTGGCTGACCCCAATCAGCTCATTCTAGACTCTGGAGCAACCTGTGGAATGGTACCTCGGCGCGACCTCTTCACCACCTATCACTCCCTCTCACCTAACTCTAGAAATGTGATTGTGGGGAGCGGAGATACGCTGCAAGCAATCGGCATCGGCACCATCACCGTCATGGGGAAGGAGGGGGAGGTGCTGAATGTGAAGGGTGTGCTTCATGTTCCTGATTTGGCAGCCAACCTTCTCTCATGCTCTCAACTTGCGAGGCAAGAATACATATGCACCTTCACCATGGAAGGTGGCACGGTTCGCAAGGGTGGAGCTGTGGTGATGGAGGCCAAATTAGAGAAGGGCCTATACCTTGTTCCAGTTTGTGTGCCTCAGGTGGAGAGGGCACATGGAGTTGAAGCCGAGGAAGCCGCTTGTAGTAGCCATTGGAGGGACGTGGAGCAGGTGACGGCAGATTTGCTGCACCTACGCATGGGGCATGCAGGAAGGCAGCAACTTGTGGAGTGTGTGAAGAAGGGGAAGCTGAAGGGTCTGGAGATCAAGGAGGGTGGTGGGCAGCCAAGCAAGTGCCCTGATTGCACAACCGGGAAGCTGCCAAGGACCTCTTTCCCTACCTCCACCACTCGAGCCTCCGCACCTCTTGAGTTGGTGCACACGGATGTGTGTGGGTCCATGCAAACACCGGATAGGGAGAATGGCAGCAAATATTTCATCACCTTCTTGGATGACTTCAGCCGCCTAAGTTGGGTTACCTTGGTGAAAACCAAGGATGAGGTGGCCAAGGTCTTCAAACGTTGGATACGCTATGCGGAGAGGGAAGCCGGGCCGAAGGTGAAGATACTAAGGTCTGATCGGGGTGGGGAGTACATGGGGAAGGATCTGGAGTCTTTCCTTGAAGACAAGGGCATCACCCACCAGCTTTCAGTTGCCTACACGCTGCAGCAAAATGGGGCAGCGGAGCGGCTTAACCGGACCCTCATTGACCTTGCCCGAGCCATGCTTGCTCATGCGCAGCTGGACCATACTTGGTGGGGGGCAGCAATGCAATATGCCAACTGGGTTTAGAACAGAATGGGCAGCAAGGGGCTAGGGGGCAAGAGCCCTTACTTCATGTGGACTAGGAAGGTGCCTAGTGTGTCCATGGCACGAGTGTGGGGGTGCATGGCGCAGTACAAAGTGCCCGACCAGCAACGGAGGAAACTGGATCCTAAGGCACAATGGGGCATTTTTCTTGGGGTGTCGGAGAGGAGTAAAGCTTGGATGTTGTGGAGTGTGGTGGATCAGCGGGTGGTGGAAAGCAGGGATGTGGTTTTCCATGAGGGGCTGAGCTATAAGGGGTGGAAAGAGCATGGTGCTAGTACAGTTGGGAACTCCCTTCAGGATCCCTACACCTCTTCCATCTTTGAGGGGGCATGGGAGGACCCTGGAGAGGAGGTAGAGGAGCAGCAAGAGGAACAAAAGGCAGCTGCACCTCACCATGAGGAGTCACCAACTGCTGGTTCTACCCCTGACCCTAACGCACCAGCCCATGACCCGGAGCAGCCACAGGGGCAGCAGCAGCAACAAGCGAAGCTGCAGCAGCCACCACAGGAGCATACACCACCTGTTCCTGCGGGTAGGTGGCAGAAAATACTGCAGCAACAGCTGTCCAAGTCACCACGGCCCCCCATGAAGAGAGTGACTTGGAAGGAGAAGCTGCA